GTTTTCTCTCATACATCTCCACATATATTCTCTCGGCACTCTGTATACTTGTTCTAAATCTAAAAATATGAAATTTAATTCTCTCTGTTTTTCCACAGACTCCTTCATCATATGCCTTTAAGCAAAGATTGCATCCGTTGTTCCCCTGTCCTGCATAAATCCAAATTGTTGTTCACCAATCTCCGTTCCATATCTTAGCCTTTTTTCAGTCACTCTTTACAAAACATTTATTGTATGTGAAATTAACTCAATTTCCCGATAGTTCCCACAATTTTGGATAACACCCTCGTGTTTGCATCTGACATTTTTCTTGACTGTAAATCTTCCTCAGCTCCCATACTACATTTTCTCCCTTCTCGCCCGAACTTTCTCACACTTCTGCCGGTATTTCATCAGGGCTGTTGCCTTCCCATTCTTCATCTTCCTCAACGCCTCTTTAACTTCAAGTCTGTTTATCTCTGGTGTTTGTCGCTCAGTTGGTGTTCCTTTCCCGAAAACTTGAACATGTTCTTCGTTCAAAAGTCTCTCAGAATATTATTTCCATTTGTTCTTAATATCCATGTTTTAGTTGTTTGGTGTAAGTAAGGTCCTTTGTCTATTCCACCTTTTTGCCAACCCATCAGTTTTCTCTCCTCTCAGTTTTCTAATTCTTTTTAAATTTCATCTAACATCCCTGCCATTGCTTGTGACACTGCTCTCTTTGCCTCTATATCAGCTGTTTTTGCTTTCTTTGTCATATTCTCTACTTTTCTTTGTTTCCTGCATTTCATCATTCCACTACCATGTTTCTTTTCTCTGGGGGAATCCTTTACCAGATGCTTTACCAAGTAATTCTCCTGCATTCTCTGATTACCTTACTAATCTATTCTCACCATTCATTTGCATCTTTAGACTTTAATTCGCCCAATACCTTTGCTTTAAACAGAGCTTTCAATGTTGTATCTTTCAATTTCCATTTTGTATCTGGAGTCTCTGCTGTTTTCCTCCCTTGGCAATTCTGAATTCACCGTCTGCCACAAAAAGCCGATGTTGATCTGTCACTCTGCTTTTAGCATCTTGCAGTTTTTTACTTCTTTCAGATGTTTCCTTTTGCACAATAGGACGTCTACTTGATTTCCCTTTTTCCACTTTTATAGGTGATATAAATGATGATTTGACTTGATTCACTTATGAGCCAGGAATTACATGTCATTTTATTTTGTACTTCATATAGATTTTCCTGAACATTATTCCTAAATTATAAATAAGCTGATTAAAAAATGGACCTTAATTTTTGCTTGTATCTACAGGCCATATGGTATATCTCTTGTGCCCTATTGCAGATACGGTCTCGCGCCGCAACCAACGGTGATTGGCTGACGGGCGCGAGATGGCGGTCCGGCTCCGTCCAAGGTGTCCAAAGTGTCTCTGAATATGAGCGAGTGTCTTATCGTGAGATGTGTCCATGGGCAAAGGGTTACGATATTATAACATTAGGGTCTTACCCTGTACGGATAATTGTAACTGCGAGCGTTTAAATCTTGTTCGTGTTCTAGGCGTGACCATTCCGTCTTGTTTTTGATGTATAGATATAAGATAGATAAGTTCAAATCATTTTTTAAAAAGTTGAAGCATCGCCAGACTGATTATTCCATTCTTACATTCAGGAGGGGTCAGCGCTTTTTGCCACCATCTTAGGTTGCTGTGAATCCACAAACAGGCATTTGCTTGTTGAAGAGACGAATGCGCATCGTCCAAAGGTGTCCGGCGATGAGCGGCAGGTTTAGCTCACGGGTACCTTTTGGAGAGAGCTTTACGGGTCGCCCAACTAAAAAGCAATAATAGCCTTATCATGATGCACCAGTGGATGAGTCAACAGAACTTATAAATTAACTGTTATATTTAATTGTTCAGATAGACCAGCACAATATTCTTTGAGGACACCAACCTTCTTGTGAAGGGGATCTGGGGGTCCCACGCCACCCTCCGCTGAGAAGCAGCACTTATTATTTCTTCACTACTTTGAGCTGGTGGAAGTGCAAATCGCCTGGCGTCCTGCAAACCAATGAGCGATTTTAACCGGCTTGTTGGTTCACCTAACGGGGAGGATAGCGGATAAGCACACACATAGACACATACATAAATACATACATATATATATATATATATATATATATATATATATATATATATATATATATATATATATATATATATATATGAATATATGTATATGTATATATGAATATATATACACACACACACACACACACACACACACACACATACATACATACCTATATATATATATATATATATATATATATATATATATATATATGTATGTATATATATATATATATATATATATATATATATATATATATATATATATATATATATATATATATATATATATACATATATATGATATACATATATATTTATGTATATATATATAATGTATATATATAATATATGAAATATGTATATAAATATATATATATATATATATATATATATATATATATATATATATATACATATATATATATATATATATATATATATATATATATATATATATATATATATACATATGTAATAAATGTATATGTATGTATATTCATATCTACTGTATGTATACAAATATATATGTATATATATATATATATATATATATATATATATATATATATATATATATATATATATATATATATATATATATATATATATATATATATATATATATATATATATATATATATTTATATATACACATGCATATCTCTGTCTCTGTCTCTCTCTCTCTGTCATCAGAGGATACACTGTAAATACGCTGTACGGCAATCTTACACGAATCATCATCATCATCATAAGGCGGCATACGCATGGCTGTGCTTTGCCGCGCCCAACCTTTGCCTCCACCTCCTGGGGTCCTTCCGAGCAAGCCTCCATGCAGCATTCCTTCCCACTCCCAGTACATCTTGGCAGATCTGATCGACTTGCTTCAGCCATGAGTTCCATGGCCTTCCCCTTGGCCTTCTCCAGCCTGGGTCAACCCTCTCGGAGATGACCCTATGAGCCGGATCTCCCTCAGGGAAACGAGCCACATGTCCATAGACCTGAAGTTGGCGCTCTCGTATCAGACTGGTAATAGGTCTTGAATCAGTCTCATGAAGTATCCTCTGATTGGACACATGGTCCCTCCAGGTATACCCCATGATTCTGCGAAGACACTTAGTACCGAAGGAGTTAAGACGGGCTTTCAGAGCACTGTTCAGTGTCCAGGTCTCACACCCATAGAGTAAGACCGGGATCACCAGTGCTCTGAAGAGCCTGATTTTAGTTCTCCTAGTCAAATACCGACAGCGCCAAATACTCCTATTGAGTGAGTCCATAACGCCGTAGGCCAGTCCGAGTCGTCGAGTGTCTTCCCGGTCGGAACCTCCTTCGCTCTGCACTACACTACCAAGATAAGTGAAGCCATCCAAGACTTCAATGTTCTCGCCATAACCATGCACAGACTGAGCATCGACATCCAAAAAGTCCCCAAATTCCTGAACCTTGGTCTTGGTCCAGTTGACCGCGAGTCCCAACGGCTTCGCCTCCTCACGGATGTTCTACTATTATTTCCCCAGGACTGCAGATAGCCAGAACCATCATAAAAAAACGAAACTACAGGAAAAATATTTATAAACGGCTAATTATCATAACGATGATAGTAGTATTTACAATAATTATTATTCTAAAAATAAAGATAATTAAGATGAGAATGACAATAATAGAGACCATAATAACGCCATCAGATGCTGATGATTGCGTTGGTGATGATATTGGTACTGCTAATGATAATGATGATGATGATGATGATGGTGGTGATGGCGATGATAGTGGTGGTGGGGATAATGATGATGTTGATAATGATATTGATGATGACGGTGGTGATACGAATGATGAGGATGATAGTGATGATAATGTGGTAGTGATGAGGATGATACCAGTGGTGGTGACGATAACGATGATGGTGGTGAAGATGATATTGATGAAGGTGGTAGTGGTGGTGAAGATGTTATTGATGATGATAGTGATGATATTCATGATGATGGTGATGGTATTGATAGTATCGATATCAATGCTGATGAAATTGATGATGATGGTGATGAAATGGATAAAGATGATGATGGTGGTGGTATTGATGATTATATCGATATCGATGTTGATGAAATTAACCCATTGCCGCCGGGGGAAATGAACAAAAAATGGGGGAAACGCAGTACTCCTTTTTTATATTTTTGTGAAATATCTCTGTCCATAGATGGCTCTGCTAGTCCTGATTTCACCTTTCCTTGAATTGGCGGGAAAAAACGTATTTTTACTAGTGCTATAAATATAGATGGTGTTTTTTTTAACAGCAAATTAGGATAACGTTAAATATTTTCGTAAATCGATGAAAAGGGTGAACGGGTGAGACAGGCAGTACTCGTAATTGGCTCATTGGATACTTAGTACAAGTGTAGCCATCTATGTGTAAAAACAATCGAACAAGTCGACTCGCAGTGGGCATGGCATGTACGTACATGCCATCCCCGACGGCAATGGGTTAATGATGATGGTGGTGATATTGATGAAGAAGATGATGGTAGTGATAATATTGAAGATGATGATGGTGGTGGCGACATTGATGAAGATGATGATGATAGTATTGATGACGGTGGTGGTGATGGTGTTGAAGGCGACGATTCCGCTGACGATTATCCCCCCCCCCCCCCCCCCCGAGGCGGACCGAAAGAGCGAGTGTTGCCTATCCCTGTGCAGTTGTTTACAAGGAATATATACCATTTGCAAAAGAGTGTCTGAACAATACTATTTAACTTCCCTATTGTTTATTCTATGAACCCAAACTCTCTAAAACGTTTGAAGATATAATATGTAATATATTTCAATGAAAAAATAGCTAAATAGGACACAAAAACCAAATCCAAGATTTGAATACCTCTACTCAACCCGGAATTAATGGTGAGCGAGACCGTATGTCGGCGCACGTGGACGGAGGATCCGCGGCCGTCCTGTTCTCCCTCGCTATTACTTCCGAATCCTCTTTACCTTTGGTATTGTATCATAGTAAGTATAGCAGGGGACTTGCATGCGTACTTGTAATGTTTTAAAGACTCTCGTGCCAATTGAGAGTTAGGAGTGGGCGTAGGAGTTGGTGTAGCCACTGGCTTTGTGTAAAGTGTCACGACTTACTGATTTTATAGAAAAATAAGTGCTGTAAGTTGTTAGTATTTTGTAACTATGTTTCCCGCTAGTTTTTTGGATCTGTTTGATGTGAAGGGTTAATGCTACCGAGAGCGACGCACAGAGATCGAGGGAAATGGACCCGCCATCTCAGAGAGCTTAAGAAAGTCATTGACGATTCGGGAACAGCTGCTCAGCCTCACAATTACCGCGAAATGACGAAAATGACAAAATGTAATCGAAGGGAGTGGCAGAGTTGGGTAATAAAACCTTCATGAAACGATGGAACAGTACATACCAAAACAAAGTTAGGAAATCTTTCCGTATATGTCAAGTGTATGGGGTGGATATCTTGACGAAAACTAAGACACTTTTCATCTATGGCAAA